GGTGCTCCAAGATGCGTTCTCCATTTTCAACCTGGAGGGAAGCAGAGTGACATAAGCACAGAAAAAAAAAAAAAAAAAAAAAAAAAAACACACAAAACCCAAGGAAAAAAAAAAAAAAAAAATTGAGGGAAATTCCTCTGTTCAGTGATATGAAGCAAAAAGCATTTATTTTTATGGCAATTAGGGATGGCTGAGCATCCCTGGAAGCTGCAAGATGAACATGCCCAGCTCTGTCTGCTCTGGGCTCTTGCAGCAGACACCCTCAGCCCGGCTCGCAGCGGGTGCTGAGCCCCAGTGGGGTGCTGCTCGCGGGGTGGGAGGAGGGCTGGCTCCCACACGGGGTTTTCTCCTCCTGTCACTGACATCCTGTGATCAGCGTGAATTTTCTTCTCCCTTCTGAAAGTATTTCTCAGCCAGCCATTTTTTTTTTTTTCCAGGGAGGGAGCCATGCCTGGCACTGCCGTGGTGCCCACTCCGTCTGGCACTTTGTCTCTGCACCAAGGACATCGTTTACACATCGCCACAGGGCAGACCTGAGCTCTGTCACCCACCCAAAAAAACTCATCTCTCCCAGCACCGGCAGGTTTGCTGAGTGTTCAGAGGTGTGCAGAGGAGCTGAAGCACGAGTGGGACGTGTGGCAGGGAGCTGCTCTGCCTGTAATGCCACCAGGCTGGAGGGGTCACCCTGGGAGAAGCTGGGGAGACCCGGAGGGGAGAGACACCTCCGTGTCTCCTGCTGCAGCTCAAATCTATGACTGGAAGGGGCTGCAGGAGAACAAAGTTCACCTTTTGGGCTGCAGAGGCCCCACGTAGGCTTGTGCTGGCATCAGGGCATCCTTCAGGGGGGACTTGGCTGCAGCATCAGTGGCTCCTGAGGAGAATTTTCCCTTTGCTGCACAAACTCAGATGCGAACGGCCGGACTCCCCCGTTAGCCAACCCGAGCTTGTTGGCCTGACTTCACACTGATGCTGGCAAACCATAGCAGGAAAGAGAAACTCCCATTTTAAGGCTCTTTCCCAGCAAATTGAGGTGCAAAGGCCCTTCTTTGGCTGTGCTGGGAGGCTGCAGGTCCCCGTGGCAGGGGCCAGCCCTGCTCCTCCACCGCCCCTCCTGAGCTCACTGGCAGAGATGTGGCGATGGGAACGGGCAGAAAATCAGGTCAGCTGGAAAAGCCTCGCCATCTCTTCCTTTCATGTCTCCCCCCATCTTCCTCTCCTGGGGAAGGCAGGTCTCCTTCCTCCCGCTGAAGCCCCGGGGGGGGGAATTTTGTTGATAACCACATGGCAAATCCTCCAGGCGGGGATGAAGCCTCTTGCCGTGGTCTCTTCTGCAGCCTGGAAGCAAATGGCAGAGGCAGGGTGAGTCTGAAGCCAGCAGCCATTTCAGTGCTGCAGTGAGTCATCCCGAAAGGCGCTCAGCTTGTGGCAGCTCCTCTCCTTTCTTCTTCCTGCCTGGGTTTTTTTTTTTTCTTTTTTTTTTTCTTTTTTTTTAATAGCTGATGTAGCAATAAATTAAAAAATAGGCGAACATATATATGAATATAACATGTCTGCAGAGCTCCTTTAATTAAAAGAAAAATCTTCAAGCACTTTTCGGCCCCTTGGACATCCGTTGTGAAAGGCTGGAGCTGCTGGGTACCTGCTACGTGGGAGGGTGGGACAGAGTGGGGCAGACCTGTGAGAGGGGGGGGTCTGTGGGGCTGCTCATGGGGGGTGATTAATGCTGGGGACACAAAGACAAAGCATTTAACAAATAGTCCTTTCCAGAGGGAAAAAAGCTAAATTAGGGCAGACGCAAAAGCCTGGGCTTGCGGTTTTCAGTGGAAAAGACTTTTGGGCTTTCCTTAATACTGTGTTTTTTTCCCCGTGGTTTCTTTGCTTGCTGATGTGTTTGTCCCTCCATGGATTCCTATGAGGCCTGGAAGAAGATAGCTCCAGCCAGAGGGGTTTGAGCTTCTCCTTCCCATTCTCGTGCCACCATCTGTCCCCGAGCAGCCTTCCCTCCCCCCGGAGCCAGCCCACAGGGTAGCGGGGAGGGAAAGCTGTCGTGATGGCAGCGTCTGCTGAGCAGGAGAAGGGGAGTGGGGACCATCAGCTCTGGGGGTCCCATCCCCACAACCCCCATCTTCCTCCCAGAGCCACAGAGTGTCTGTTGGTGCTGCTGACAGAGGAGTCTCAGCCTTCTCCATGCTGAGATTATTTAACCAACCTCCTTCAGATTTGAGCCTCTCCAAGGTTGTGCCGGAGCCCTTGGAGGCACCTGTGCCATCCAGCCCCTGCAGAAGGTGACTGTGTTGCCATCTGTCTATGGTGGGCACGGGACAGGCTCGTGGTGTATCTCCTGGCTACAGCCCATGGCTCCGACTGCCTGAAATGTTTTTGGCTTGGAGTTTTACTGAGCCCCCTGGGTCCCTAAGCCAGACAAGATTAACGAACGTTCGCTGAACTTGCTGGAGACCTTGGCTTGCAGTTGGGCTGTGAAGCTGCAACCAGAAACATGAGGAAATTTGGAGAGTCTTAATGCATCTGTGGCTATTCTTTATATAGATGGCCAACCTCTGGAGAGGGAACAGGGAGATGCTGCAGTGTAAGGTCAGGCACTTCAGAGGGGTCATTTACTGTCTAGGAGGCTTCCACTTTCCCCGAGGACATGCCTTGTCCCCATCTTATAGCAACTTGGAATCTTGGAATCTCCAATGTGCCAATCTCTGTCTGTGCCACAGGATGTTTCACTGTCTTCCAACGCCCAGGACATGCCCCCAAAATCGAATTCAACAAAGCCAAGGGCCATTCCCAGGCTCATCATTAACCTACTGGAACATCTTGGGCCAGGGCTTCCCATGGGGCCAGTAGCGCTCTCCAGACCATTCCCAGCAGGGCTAGGAGCAGGGATGCTGCATGGTGTTAGAGGAGGGCCCAGGCTAGTTCACTCCCCCCAGGTGGGTGCCCTGTGTGGCAGATTGGCCCTGCCGTGGTTCAGGGCTGGTGACTTACTGCTGGCCCCAGGAAGGCTGCAGAGCCCTGGTGGGGGGAGCAGGGGTGTCTGATGGCTCCTCGGCCTCCTGGTAGATATTCCTCTGCTGCTGTGAGCAGAATCACTGCTGCCTTTGTGTCAGAGCCCAGATTTTAC